TTTGCTTAGAGCAAACATTGATTTTTATACACTAAATTGGATTTAAATTATGCATTCGCATATTAGTTTGAAATTGTTGTAATATTCTACAGACTCGTGGTCGCAGTATTTCCAATAAAGTTTGATTTTGACGTTGTCACACAAAGGGGAGGGACCTACAGTTTTACGCCGACCCGAAAGGCGATTGCATTTTTAGGAGAAGCTGTTTTTCATGACAGAAATACATTCGGAGGTCTGCCGAGAACCGCTATTAGAAAAAAACGTTTTTTGTTTTCTTTTTTTTTGATGTTGGGTTGAATACAGGCCCTGCGAAATGGTAGCGCACACTGCTAACCACTACACCACAGCGGCCGCTATGTAACCGTATTATGTATTTCAACTTTAAATCAATTTTACATACTTTTCGGTGAAAGTTCGGCTCATTTTCTTAACTACAAAACGGCTACATAATATCAGAAGAATGCAATCAACATTTTCTTGATTACGATTACGTTAATTGTAATCATAATATTTTTAGGATTACAATTAAAGTATTCGCAATCATAATTTTCATGATTACAATTACTGTAATTGTAATCTTAAAATTTTTAGGATTACAATTACAATTTCCGTAATCATCTTTTCCATGATTTCGATTACAGTAATCACAGTCCCTAAATTTTTAAGATTACAATTACTATAATCATAATGGTAACATTTATGATTACAATTAAAGTAATCGTAATCGTATATAATTTAAGGATTACAATTACGCAATCGTAATTGAAATGTAATCGTAATCAAAAATTACCCAGCTCTGCTTGTACCATGGTATAAAAAAGAAGGCAGTTTCACTTAATGACATTAGCCATTTAGCCATTTGACTTTTGCTGATATTATGACATTTTCATCGAAATGAAGCTACCAGATTGAAAATTATAATACATTTTTTTTCTGAAAAGAATTTGATTGACAAAGGACAAAATAAAATAATTTTTTAAAAAATACCTCTAAGCGGTATCGAGTTTGATTGGTTGGAGAATTTTGCAGGTTACCTTGTGTCGAAAATGGGCCTGGCGGAATTCGGGTTCAGGACGAGTGAAGGGAAAGATAATAATTTACTTTCTTTAATTGCATTTCTGAAGGAGGTCTTTACAAACCAAGTGCTGATCTTTTGGAGCATTTTAACTCGAAACTTATTGAAATTAATGGTGAAAATTTAACAAGTCCAAATTAAAAAAAAATATATTGTACAATTCAAACAGAGAGAACAGTCCCACCGAAAACGGGACGGTTGGCAACCGTGTACGTACTATGTATCAGTAAAACGTACTATTCTTTGCTGGCTGGGCTTTCTTACATATGTGATTGAAAAAGCTATGTCTGCATTTATGTATGTATGTAAAAACAATAACTGTGAACGAGTACTTTTAAGTTTTGAGTGGAATTCGGCTTTTCCTGAACTAGTCAAAAGTGGATTTCCTTGAGCAGAAAAATCTGCTCTTAATTTTTTGTTTAGGCATTAAAAGGTAAATAGATTTTGTGTTTTCATTTTTGACATTGCCATACCTTTTTTATCATTACCGGCAAAGTTCATGACACACGTACATTAAGACTAAAGAAAAAAGTTATTTATAAATTGAAAAAAAAAAAAAAAAAATTCTCTCAATAAGTAACACGACACTTTCACCCTTGCAAATTTAGATTACCCGGAGTTACACTGACCATCAACTTTTTAACTGACCTAATACAGGTCCTAGGGCTGGTCGAGTAATTCACGAAACTACGTTAACATTTTTTGTAACAGCCTTAAATTCTCGATTTATTCTTAAAAACCCATTTTTGCATGACTTCCCGCCCTAAACAATTTTTAGCTCGGTTATTTCTTACAGAATTTGAAGTTTTAGATGGCTTTGGAAAGTAAAATATATAGTATAAACCAAGACGAACTCATATAAGCTGGTATCGATTTAACAAATACACAGTTACTTGTATTTTGTTTTAGCTTATAGCGGGCCATTGTCAAATTTTAGCTATTCTTTCTCGAATGAAAAAGGGCGACAGAAAATACACACACTCACGTTTTCACTCACTCACTAGCGAAATACAAAATTTTGCAAATTAAACACTACTCACAGCTGAGGAATCAACACCACCTTATATAAATTCGCCTTGGTATAAATAAAGAAAAGAAATAAAATATTTTGTGAGCACATTGTTTGTCTGTTTGAACTCACTAATCTCCGGAACTACTGAATGAATTTTCATAGGGCTTTAACTGATATATAGGGACCTTGGACGTAACCTAGGGTATAAAACATGAGATCTGACAAGGGGCCGTAGTACCTCCCACAGGCATGACATTTTTAATCAGTTATAAATTCCAAACCGTAGATCACATGACTTTGAAATTTCGTGTGTTCACATACATATCTATGGTAGATACTTATTGTAAAGTACATATACTTTTGTAAAAGGGGCGTGGCACATCCTAGAGGAGTGAAATTTTTAATCAGCCATAACTTCGGAATCACACGTCACATGAAATTCTTGAAATTCTGCGCTGCATCGTAAAATATACTTTTGCAAAAAATTGTGCCGACTGATGGCGCTGGAGTCGAGATATTTAGAGAACCCGTCTGACCTGGATTAACGGGTATTAACTTTATGATAACAAATGAACCCAATACATATATGGCGCTGAAATCACGATATTTAGATGGCCCTCTGCAAATTTACATTTTAGATCACAATAAAGCCTCATTCCTTAAGTATGCGTTCAAAGAAGCACAAAATTGCTTAAGCTCGACAGATATCCTGGGCACAGCAACGGGTCATTGGTTTATCAAGAATAAGTGTGCTGACTTAGAGAGAACACGGGGAGATATCAATGACCCCGTTTGAAAGAGGAAAACTCTTTCATCCTGTTGAACAGCAGGATTACAGAAGAAGATTACGTACTCTCGGCAAACTGTGCAATACTTGCAAATATCTCACAGGTAGAAATAAGAGCTCATAGCATCGAAGAGGATTAGTACTTAACCTAAACGTTATCTCCTCGCTATAATTATTGGCCTATGAGTAAGCAATGTTCTGGTCTTCAGTCTTTCAACCTAAACGAATAATTTTTACATTATAAACAGTTTTTCCATAGCAACACTATTTTTTTATTGGCGTCGTGAAGCAAGCCAGGCATTTGCTAGTCGTAAATATGTGAAAAATTTTTGGAACAAATCTGAAATTTACACCAACTTTTTTAATTTTTTCCATTTCAGCTACAATTTCAAAGAAGATAGTCTCCTTTAGTTAATAATAATAATAATATATTGGCGCTTACACATATGTTAGCGTTTGGCCGAGCTTCTCCTCCGATCTGGGGCGTGCGCCTTGATATTGCCTCACAAAGGGGAGGGAGCTACAGTTTTACTCCGACTCCAAACGGCGATTGTATTTTTATGAGAACCTTTAGTTATTACTTCGAAAATAATGTTTTTTTCCGAATGAAACTAGGTACATTTTATAAAAACCAATAAACAAATTCGGAAGTCGTGAATTTTCTAAAAAAAATTTCCAGAATTGCTTCCATGTAATTTCACAGAAATTTTGAATCGGTAGGGTTGGATTCACCTTGAGGTTTCAATAGTTCTAGAAAAATTTGAATTTGCCTCTTTATAAAAAATGTCATAACTTAATAATTTGGTGAGTGAACTAATGGTTCCTAGTTTTACTCGGAATTAAACATTATTTTCGAAGTAATCACTATAAGAGACTGTTTTCTTTTGAAATTTTGGCAACAAATGTTATGGAAGTGGAAAAAATAATCAGGGCTACCACGGAATCCATCGTAGAAAATCTACGAATTCAAATGCCCGCTACGAATACGAAAAAATTGCTATCACTGAATTCGAGTGAACTCGAAAATATCGTTGCCAGCTTCGAATGCTGATTCGAAATCAGTTAGTGCAAAGGAAACAACAGACATTTATGTGTGCCTGTTTGCTCACGCTACCGCATCAGGCGCAATGGCCGAGTTTGCAAAGCACTAGACTGCCAATTGAGAGAGCCGAGTTCGAGTCCGAGTCGTGGGGCAGTGGAGATTTTTTTCTTTTTTTATTCAATTTTTGTTTATTTTTTAATAAAAATTTTTTTTTAGTTTATTTTTTGCTTAGATTTTATTATTTTAAATAGGAATTTTTTTTTTTCTAAATACATTTTTATGATATTAAAGTAATTAGGTTTATTTCCTAATAAATTGTTGCTAAACTATTATTTCCTCGATTCATACAAAATATTAATTCATTAAATAGCGTCTAGCAGGTGAATGCGTTTATGTACATATGTATGTATGTATGGCATTGGTATTTTACGTCTACGTTTACACAAATATATGGAATTATATCAAACTATAACAAATTTGGAGTATAATAAATATTTAATATCAAAAATAATGCAGCTTTCTTCCACTATTTTTAAGATTGAGTGATTTTAAATTTTGTTCCGACAGCATAATCTCGTCGTAGAGTATCTGTACGAATCTTCATTACGAACGGATTCAATGAAGGCTCTCTACGAATTTCGAATTTACGTTCGTAGCCATTCGGATTCTGTGATAGCACTTTCGTAGATTTCATAAAAATCGAAGCTACGATGGATTCTGTGATAGCCCTGAATAAAAATTGGTGTAAATTTCAGATTTATTCCAAAAATTTTCGACATACATACATATTTAAAATGAGATCTCAAAACTTTGTATTTCTTTAAACAGTACAAATATGCTTCCTTCTTAAGCCATGTAAAAACTTAAAATTGGTTAAAAATAACCGGACTAAAAATGGGTTTTTAAGAATAAGTTGAGAATTTGAGGCTGTTAGAAAAATTTCTTGAATTACTCGGCCAGCTCTACGATCTGTACTAGGTCACTTAAAAAGTTAGTGCAATTTTTTTTATTTTGTAACACCGCGCTTTTTATTTTTAAATGGAAAATTTTCTTGTTAAAAAAATATATATTTTCTTGTTTGCAGAAATACCCAGCGCATTGCCGAATAACAACCACCATACAACAGAAGTGTCAGAAACGCTTTCATAATGATTTACTGATCGTAAAAGCAAAATCCAGAAAGTACAGGTCTCGTCGATTTGTTGTTGCTTGATTATTGCAAAATCTCTTGAAGGGAATTGAAACAAAATAAATATAAACTGTAATCACCAACACCCCTGCCGATCGACGATTGTGAGATCAATCAACTACTACGTTAAACGCGAACTAAATTGATAGCGGAGCAGCAATAGAAGCAGGAATACAAACTCCAGTAATAACAACAAAAGTGTAGATAGTAAAGTTCGCATTGCTACTGCGAATCACCCATGAGAGTGAATTTGTCTATATTGGAGTAAAACGCCTGGAGTTTTTTAAATATTTTTCTTGTCATCTCTGCCAACGTCGGTTACATTTGAATAGCCACTAACAAGGAGTAACCTATTGCTACGAAACTAACCTTTTCCGGATTGTGTGTATTTTGAAAAGCCGCTTTAATGATGTCGTCTGATCAACAGTTTTTCCTAAAATGGAATGATTTCCAAACGAATATGGTGACCTCGTTCCGGCATTTGAGGGACGAGAAGAGCTTTACAGATGTAAGTAGAACAGTAATAATAATTTAGGATTTTTTATAAATAGGTCTGTCAGTGGATTATGCTTGGATATTTTTTTCAACAGAAATTGATTTGCTGTTATCCAAAGAAAAGGTTCGACTGATGGGTACTAAGGGTACGACAACAAGGGCCGTTTTATCAGAGGGGTGCTTACTTACATACGTACGGCGCTTAACTTTAACTTTTTGCAATGATAATCTATATAAAAATCTATATATGTGTATTAGGGTGCCCATCGAATTTTTTCTTTTTGAAATTTCAAGACCCTACCCCCTAATTTCCTTCCTTTTTATGAGAATTATTATTGCCTATTTTTATAGATTTTTTTTAAATTTACATTCGACTTTCGTGGTTATTTTGCATACCTGACAACATTTAATACATTTGGTGGAAAAAATTATAGAAATGCGTGAAACAAGGTGAATTAATAAATAAATTTTTATACTTCTGCTACCACCTTGTAGGAATTCTGATCATTGAACAATTTTAAATGAAAAGAGAACGTCATTTTCGATTGATAATTAAAAAAAAGAAACATGTCTTCTTATACTATACGAGATTATTAAATAAAAATATTAAAAAGTTAAATAAAACTTCATTGATTTAGCATATGTAAGAGCATATATTGGTAACTTATGGAGCTTTTTATAGCGCTTATTTTCCATTTCTTCTGGCATATTTTTGATAGCCCTCTTTATAATGTATAAGAAATCATGTAAATTTTTTCGCCAACGCACAAAGGAGTATTTGCATAGTAAAACTGGTCAAAATTATTTGGTGTGTTTTTCTAATAAGTAATGAATGAAAATGCGGAACTTAATCATAATTAGGCATTAAAATGAGAAAAAGGCCCTACTTCAGAAAAATTCAAAAACGGTATTCAATTTTCTATGGCATATTTAGATCGGCGAGTCCGGATATGCCTTCGGTTTTTTCAGATTGGCTCTCATTTACGAATAATTGCGAATTGTGTAGAATTTTCAGAGTTTCCAAAATTTTGATGCTTTCTTAATTTGAATTAGATAAAAAAAACTTAATAATATAAAAATAAGAATGCGGTAAAGTGTGCTAAGACCCATACGTTCTCGTCGAAGTTGAGTAGAGGGTGTTATTGTCCACTTTCATAGTCCTTCTAATGATCCTCCGAGAGCTCTAAAATTTGAAGACATACTATAATTCAGTAAATCTCGGTACTTAGCTCCGACGAAAGCATTTGAGCATCGAGCGCACTTTTCCGCATTCGTTTTCTTATATTATACCATTGAACGATTTTTTCAACACGGCGGCAGCTCAGCGTTGAATTCTAAATACTATCGGCGCAACTATCTCTATTTATTGCAATTTCATTTGTTTACATTTATCAGCTGTTCATTTGGCAGCATATTCAACAAGCCGTTTCTAAGACGTAATTGTTGGGTTCACAGTTGCCAGCAGTTTCGTAGCAGATAAGCTAAGTTTATATGTAGGTTAGAACATGAAAAGGTTGCCATTTGTTAAAAAATGAAATGCAATTAATTTAAAAGGAGTCTTACAATATGAGCATCAATCGAAATGGTTTTGAAAAGGCTTTATTTCTAAACAACATGTGGGAAATTAAACTATAATTAAGGAAATAAGACACACAGTTGTATTAAAAAAGACGTCGCAACCCCGATCAAAAATATTTCTGGATTAAAGTTCTCAAAAAGAACATTTCATTTGATATCCATGTTAATTGTAATAGTTAAATTTTGTAGAATCGAAAATAAGTGGCACCAATAAACCACAATCCTAAGGGATAATACTTACAACATAGAAAATAATTGTTTAAGAGCCTTCTTTTAGTACCCATGAATAGTAATATTGTATCTTAATTTTCAAACAATGAATTAAATAAATATAAGATGGCAAATAGGTGGCAACCCTGTTAAAAATGTCTCTGAATTGGGGATTTTTAAAATAGTTTCACTTAATACCCAATATGACGTTTTATTTAACTTATAAATCATTTCGAATAGGAGGCAACTTTGAACAAATATCTCCAGAGGTAACACCACTCTATATAACCTTAAAATTGTAAGCACTATCTGAATGCAAAATTTTATCAAAATCGTTAGAGCCAAATGTTTACAGAACTTTCCGCTAAGATAAGCATTTTTTTCTAAAAGTAGTGTCAACTATTTTCTCCACCTGTAACTCCCCAAAGTTAAATTAATCCCTCCACCCCCGAACCTGAGCACTGTTTTGTTCGTCTTGACTTTCCTATCACCCCCCTTCATTTACAGAACACTATACATTTAAATAAAACTGGTACAGTACAGCGGCAATATTTGCGGTAAATATTTCAGCAATCGCACATTTTCAGCAGTTTTTTTTTTGTTTTCAAACTGCGAACTGTAAGGTATAGCACCCAAGCAAGAATCTCAGCGCCGTTGAGTGGTGTTACACAACTTTATAACTCTGGTTTTTTCTCTAATCCATTAAAATTAGCGAAAATGCGATATTTTTTCTTGAAGCTCTGCAGGTACCATTTCATACTATATTTGCATTAAACTAAACACAAAAAACACAATTAACAACACGGCACTTAGACAACGCGGTGTTAGCGAATGAAAACAAATAGGGACTAAAAAGTAACGGAATCTAGTCAAGAACTCTATTCTCTTCACCCTATGTTCAGTTATAAAAGAAAAATGCGTTTGGAAAATTCGACTTTTGGCCGCTTAAATTAGGCCAATACCCCTCTGGGTACGGTAAAGAGGTCGACGGTTAACCGCTTTCAAAATTAAAACTCACAAAGGCATATGACCGGGCCGGCGTACCTTTATACATACACGTGCCATTATTGCCAAAGAATTATTCAATGTAGCCATGACGTGTTAAAAAGAAGTCATGACTTATCACCAGGGAACGGATTTTATGGAAATTGCCTTTTTTCTGCTAAAGGGATAGATTATATTCGATTAAGAATGTCCACGATTTAGCTTTCCCTGATTCCATACATGCACATTTGATGTTGCCTTTTTTTGCCTTTTTTAAGATATTTGCCTTTTTTTTGCCTATTGTGCCTTTAAAAAAGTGATTATAGCGAGCAAAAAGCCGTTATTCCTGATAATATAAAAGTTTCAAACGTTCCATATCTAAATTGGGCTCCACTTGTTTCAAGTCACGTCGAGCGCACGTTTAGTACATGCAAGGCTGTGTCTGATTAACTCGATTTTCGGAATCAGCAAGCAATTCTATATAGGAATTGGATATGTAGTGGCGTCCGTTGAACATTTTTCCTGTAAACCAGTGCTGCTATTTTTGTCTTTTTTTTTGCCTTTTTTGCAATTTCTAGTGCCTTTTCCTGCCTATTTCGCTATTTTTTTTGCCTTTTTTATAGGTTTTTAGGTCCTAAAAATCCGTTCACTGCTTATCACCGTTCTTGGAGATATTAATTGACACTTAAATCGAATCAACCGTCTCTTAAATGTCTCTGTTTACCTTGTGTGCAAACGCCAGCTTCTGCAGACGTCGAATATGTCTGGAATTAAATTCCAAGTTTCCAAAATTTTAGTATTCGCAAATTTAAAAATGTTGAGTTTGAATGTTTCCGATAACTCCTTGAATTCAGAAAACCTCGATGAAAATTCGTCGACGAGAGTATTTATTACTAAAGAAAACTCTTCAGTGCCTCTTGATCGGTCTGGTTTTTCATCTAAATCTAAATCTGATTTTAAAATTGTTATGTTTGGCAAACATTTGTAATTTTTGGAAACAATGGGGCATATTAATAGTAAAAAAAGACGACACTAAAGTTAGTTGCAGCTTTTTGACATAATTATCAATGTAATATCTCAAAAAAAAAAAAAGCTGATACTAAATTTAGAGTCGACTTTATTTCGACTATGAATATGCCTCAATGTCTTTACCAACAACTTTCTGCTTAGCCTAAAAAGCGCGAACGAGATCTATCCATCATATTTATAAAGTTCTGCTTTATTAGAGCCTTAAAGCTTTACGTTCAAATCATTGAAATGCTGGAATATATCCGTAAAAAACCCACAATTTTGAAAGCCACGTATAAGCCTCAAACCTTCGTTTATTTAATGACTGCGAAGATATGAGTTTCAATATTTTTGAGAACTACGCCCATTATATCACCAAGGGAGGCGAAGCCATGCTTTGCGCACAAAGGTTATTGATGAATGATGCAATGGAACTCATGCAATATAACTGGATTTTGTTGGTTACTGTTTGTATATTTCGCTTTTCTGACATTTTTTCTTGGGTGTGAGTAGATCTTGCGATCTCCAATTTAAACGAAAAAAGAAATTGTGTCGATTAGGTAGTAAATACTACTACTAGTAATTGGGGGAATTGAGTCCTCAAAATATACCGTGCCTAAATTATTTTGTTGCGTGCCTGAGGTTCGCCAGCCCTGGCATATGGAATGGCTGCCGACCTTTTTTGGTTGATTTAAATTTATTTATATTTTTACCGCCCATGGGGACGGCACAATGTTGATTGAATATTTACTGTAGTAATTTTTATTATTTTCACAAGTTTGCCAATGTATTCATCTAGTTTTATTTCCAGAAAATCTACATACATGCACGTACCGAAAAATATTTAATTTTAATAATAATTTTCAAATCAAAATGACAACTAACGGAAGCCGGGGTGCGTAGCAATCAAGGCGAATTAATATAAGGTGATAGCAGGAGTACAAAAACAAAAATTTACCTGTATTTTGTTTTTGCTTTGGCGGCATAAACTGTCAAAATCTGTAAGAGTGTGTGTAGAAGTTCAAACAAAATTTTTCAATTTGATATCAGAAGCCGTGCGGCGAAACACATACACAAAATCAGCTGAGCTAGTAACACCACCTTATATAAATTCGCCTTGGTCGCAATTGTGTTTACTCTGACGGATGGCAACTGTTCAGCTACTCACTTACCGCCGCCCGCTTTACCGTCGCTCGCTGTAATTCTGAGTAGAGCTTTAGAAGTCAAAAGTTTTGAATTTTTTTATAGCCGCATATTTTCTTTACTTAATTTTCCTTCGTATGAAACACTATGTACCGGAATATTTTATTCGATAAGATTAGTCGACAAGAAATCCGACCTTATGTAAAATCCATACCATCATCTACATACGTCAGCAACATTTTAAAACCGGACTATTGGTTTAGGAGTTATTCATTGATTTATTGGAAATGACGCGTGATTTTTAACAAATGTCCAAACAAAATTTTTTGGTATCAACATCCACATGAACAAATTTGTTTACTTCCTCCGATTTCTTGTTTAAATTGAACAATAATTGTAGAAATTATGACTAACAAATGTTACAAATTTATGATTTCATTAAATATTAAAGCAGATGCCTATACCGCAAGTAATTTTTTTTTTAGAAATTTTGTGAAAACTATGCAAAATTGGCATTCAACAAAGAGTGGGAGCGCGAGTTCCTTTTTCTTTTTTGCAAAAATTGTGAGTGCAATGCGCAGTGTATGTCGTGCTTTGTAATTAAAGGAATGACAATATTATTTGCCAAGCCATTTTGTAACTTATCACCAAAACTTATTAGAAAATTTCAAAGGGGGCGAAGAAAATGATTGTTTGCCAATCTTAATTCAAATGTAAAACCTTAGGAGCATCACATCGGGTAAAATTGATAGGATTGCAGACATTCGGGCCCTAACCACCAAAAGTTAGCTCATTTCTTTTTTTTGATTTTCTTTTTGATGCAGAGTAGCTATTTATATGATTCCAATGTATTTTGTCTTATATAATAAAATGGCAGATATTAACTCAGCCAGCAAAAAATTCGACAATGGATCCGAAAAAGGAAAAAAAAATCTGGATGAAATGGAATTTTCCCCCGTTTACCGATTCCATTTTCGGATACTTTGACGATCCGCTTTTCCACTAAAGTGTCCGGCAGAAATGTGTGTACAGACAAAAACCGAAAATTATTTTGAAACGGAACGAATTAATTAATTCTGTGTTCGTATGGAAAAGTAGCTTTATTTTTTAAACGGCAAGGAATTTTTTGATGAGACTTAATAAGAATATTGACTTGCTAGTATCGGAACTATTTCTTCCACGTTTATTTGCCAAAAGTTGTTCAACGGCTTAGCGCCAGTGAGTCATTCGCAATCGTATGTTGCGAATGCCGATTTATACTAAAGCTACTTTTCCATATGACCACAGAATTAATTATTTTTTTAATTTAAATTTTTTTTCACGTGTTCTCAATAGATCAAATCTTTGGGAAGTTTCTCGATCACTAACCTACCTCGTCGATAAAGTTATCATACAAAATACACCCTAAATACCAGCCTCCAGCAATATTAGCCTCTAGTAAAATACTTACAAAGAAAACAATTTGTTATACATTTGTAGCATTGACATTTAAATATTTTTATTAGTCTATTGTATGGGATTGTAATAACTATAATGCACATTATAATTACATTTCAGGTGACCCTTGCCTGCGAAGGGCAAACATGCAAAGCGCACAAAATGGTTCTATCTGCATGCAGCCCGTATTTCAAAGCTCTTTTGGAGGTAAATAACGCATATATATATTTATACAGCTAATTAAGCCAGCAACGTTTTGATAATTTTTTTTCTTTATCTTTTTTTTTTGCTTGATGTGGATTATTTTTTAATACAAGTTTTTTCTAAATTTTAAACTTTTTTTTAGATTTTTCTGCAATATTTTATTTTTTTTATTAAGTTACTAAAAAATCGCGTTGATTTTTAATACTTTTTTCTAACTGTATTACGCATTTTTTTCATACAAAGCAGTGTTGGCACTAATCGATTGATATATTAATCAATTAAGGAATTCGATTAAATTCAATCCGATTACAGTTAATCATGATTAATTTTAATCTGATTAAACAGTTGATCGTAACCGCGATTATAAAAATTAATTTTTAATCATTAACCCTTAATTTGATAAAGTGGGTTTGGTGATTAATTAATTTATGCTGGAATTTTACTGTGTTAATTGGGTATTGCAAAGTCGGTTTTCCTCATAAATCCAATCACTTTGGTGTGCATTTTCGTTAAGATCTATTTTAACAGACGCTAATGAAACTAGGTTTTAATATCCGTCTGCACATGTGCGATAGGTTTTAAAAATTCCCAGTTTATGTATTACTAATAATAGTAATTATTATTATCGTACGGATGATTACGATTAATTAATTTTAATCGCTAATCTCGATTAACATTTTAATCGTTAATTTTTAATCGTTAATCAGATTAACATTTTGCCAAGACTGATACAACGTATTTATATTCGATATTTTTTTTGTATGGGAAAAATGCTTAAAACAGCCAGAAAAAATTATAAAAAATCAAAGCTCCCTCAACCACCAGAGGGAGTCTCGATTGTCTCCTACGCCGACGATTGCTCGATCATGGCGACTGGGAATGCAATTGATGACCTGTGTTCGAAAGTAAACGGATATCTCTCCGCTCTTCCTCGCTTCCTCACTGCAAAGTGTCTAGCCCTCTCCCCTACGAAATCCTCTGACCTTGTTCACCACCTGGACGAAGGAGGTCAGGCTACCGCTGGGAATTCACGTCGATGATACACCAATTCCGACGGTGAATAACCCCAAAATACTCGGAGTAACATTCGACAGCCTGCCCTCCTTCTCTGCGCACGCAACCGCTCTTGTCAACAAAGTACAGAGCCGCAACAAAGTCCTCCAGTCGCTAGCCGGCAGTACCTGGGGCAAAGACAAAGAAACATTGCTCGCAAGATACAAGGCAATAGGCCGGCCGGTTTTAAACTACGCAGCGCCAGTGTGGTCGCCGGCGACTAGTAGGACGCAGTGGATGAAGCTACAGACAGCACAAAACACAGCACTCAGGACAGCGACCGGATGCCTCCTGATGTCACCTCCATGATGAGGCGAAAATGTTCCCAATTAGGGAGCATAACACGATTCTCTGCAAGCAGTTTCTGGTTGGGAGCCACAGATGTGGCCACCCAAACAGACAGCTGCTTGCAGAGGAGCCCTCGCCAAGGCACGTCAGGAGGCATCTATATGAACTGACGGACGATGTCCAGAGGTTCATTAAGCATCCTCTGGACCCGTCAGCTTACCGACAGGCCCTGAACGGCATTCACAGGGACTCAGTCTCGAGTTATGTAGACTCTAGACCTATGAATGCCGTTCTAGGCACACAAACACCGGACATTGACGCGACGGAGCTCCAGCTGCCTCGGGAGACTAGAACAACAATAGCCGAACTTCGCTCCGGCTACTGCAGCAGGCTAAACTCCTACCTGCATGCCCGGAAAACCCTACAACCCTAACGGCGTCGTCCCCGTGCACGCTTCTTGGGGCTGCCGTTAGTGGAACTCGACGACAACGACTGAGATATCAACCGATCTGGCCGAGGTTGCTGTAGCCGCTACAACAACAACAACATAAAAAAATGAACGCGATTTTTTAGCAATTTGAAACTTGCATGTACTAGAATTTAATGGCCTATAAAATTGCATATCGAAAAATTTTGAAAAATCTGAATAATAAGTTGAAAATTTAGATGCAATTTCGCAAATTTTTTATAATTTTTGCAGAGCTAGACTTTAATTAAAAAATATTAAAACTAAATAAACAAAAGAAAAATAGCCAAAATTGGACAAAATGTTGCTGTACATGTATAAACAAAAGGAAATTAATTATAAAATGTATTTAATTTTAGGAAAACCCTTCGAAGCACCCCATCATTATCTTGAAAGATGTGTCGTATATACATCTGCAAGCTATATTGGAGTTTATGTATGCCGGCGAAGTGAATGTATCGCAAGAGCAATTGCCGGCCTTTTTGAAAACTGCTGATCGCCTCAAAGTGAAAGGTCTGGCAGAAACTCCTAGTTCTATAAAACGGGAAGGTTGATGGTGGTAAATAAGTTCAATAAAATACGACTATATATAATAAAACAACAAAACAAATACATACGCCTAAACTATTAATAAGGAATGAATATAAATTTAATTGAAAATTTTAATTTAAATGCGTAAAATAATTTAGTAAACTGCTAAAGATACAAAAATAATACATACTGCATACAAAAGAAGTGCGGCTCAGAATTTAATTGCTTTAATCATGAATAGAAATGATTGCGCACAGTTTGTTTCATTATATGTTTTAAATCTCAGATTAACAACCGCATTGTTTTGCATCATATATCGATAGCCATTATTTAAAATGATTTATTTAGTAAACTTCTTAGATTTTTTTTCAATTGAATTCATTTTTCGGTACGCGTTACTTGAGCAAATCTAAAACTCTGTTGCGCAAAATTAATTATATTGTATATTATTTAAATTGTACGAATTAAGCCGGCAAACTTATATCGAAGGAATTAAAAAAAGAAAAAACACCACGAGCTGGAAATTATAAAGAATTTTGTAGTGTATAAAAAAAACTAAAAAGCATAATTATAAACGATACTGTAGAATGCTAAATGACTTTGACAATGTGTAAAAAGGCGAATGAAAGGTTTAAATAAAAAACTAAGAATGGGATTGTATCTCCTGTTTAGATATACATATTAAGCTACCATTTTAGAGTTGCAATTATTCGTACATTTATACCATTTAAAACAATACATTTAGATAAGAAGCGAGGGCATTTTAAAAAAATCGAGGTCATGACAGGAAAACTAACCCATTGAAAGTGAAATGTAAACAAACCTTTAAATTTATTATTTAATAAACTGCAAAAATCTCTATCAGCCCAAGCACCGATCAAGTTACGTAATAAAGAAAATAATGGGACAAATTAATAGTCAAAATACAGTCGAAATCAAAGTTATTTGCAGCTTATTGACATAATTTTCAATGGAATATCTACCAAGAAAACTGCAATTAACTTTAGAATCGACTTTATTTCGAATATGAACAAGCCCCATTGTATTAAAAGTTTTACTTAAGTAAATGAACGAAAATCATAAGCTATAGCCAAAGTAGATTTGATGAAAAAGAAA